TTCTTGCTATGTTTGTAAATGTTTGAAATTTTTCAGTAAAAACATTTGAAGAAAAAGATATCCTAAGAAAAGTAAAAGGTCAAACTACAAATGGAGAGAAGATATGTGCAACACGTATAACCAAAAAAAAACCTGTCATCAAGAGTCTATGAAGAGCCCCTATAATCAGTACAAAAAGAAATAATAACACACTAGAACAATAGGCAAAAGACACGAAAAGGCACTTAATAGAAGTAATGTATTTGGTTAAGAAACACATGAAGACATGAAAATGCAAATCTAGACAACAATTAGGTGTCATTTAGCAAAAACTACAAAGTCTGATAATTCTAAGACTTACAGAAAGAATGTGGATTGAGAGGATCTCTTATGCATGGGTAAAATTTGTTAAAATAATTTGATCCTATCGTTTTAAAGTTGAATTTCATGTACCACACCTCCCCCCCCAAGAATCAGCAATTCCACTCCTCAGTTTAGGACCAAGAGAGCAGTCTAGAACACGTGTACACATGAACCAGGACATACATATAAGGCCATTATTCCAGGCAGTATTGTTTCCTGGAGCAAGAACCTGAAGAAAAAACGTATACTATCACAACAGAACATTACACAATAGTTAAAATAACTGAACTACAGCTATATACAACATACATAAATTGTTACAATATATTACTGAACGGGGGCGCCTAGGTGGCTCAGTTGGTTAAGTGGCCAACTTTGGCTCACATCAATGATCTTGCAGTTCATGAGTTTGAGCCCCACATCAGACTCTGTGCTAACAGTTCAGAGCCTGGAGCCTGCTTCGGATTCTGTGTCTCCCTTTCTCTCTGCCCCTCCCCTATCTGTGCTCTGTCTCTGTCTCTCTCTCTCTCTCTCTGTCTCTCAAAAATAAACATTTAAAAAATGTATTTGTATATTTTTATTTATATATATATATAACTGAATGAAAAAAGTAAATAAGATAATAGTACAGACATCATGGCTTTCTTTTCACAGTTAGTAAAAATAATTAAAATTAAACAACACCTTGTTTATGCTTATATATGTGAGGGGAAAAACTGTTCTTTAAGAATGTGATAACACAAAATCGGAATCGGATTCACCTTAGTTACATGCAGGTCAGTGAGATGGGACAGGAGAGATAAACCTAAGTTACTGTTAATGTTTAGTTCCTGGGTTAGACAGTAAGGCTCATGATGTTTATCATCTCTAAGAATGAATGAGGGAAGAAAGCACATGTAAAAAGGTCAGTTAGAAGCCACGGAAGCAGTGAGTCCAGGCAGAAGATGATGGTGGCAGGCTGGGTGGTAGTGGTGGGGCTGGAGAGATGCGCACAGGTCTGAGAGATTCAAGATGTAGAAATGACAGGCCTTGGTAACTGGCATGGAAATGCAGTGGGAGAAGAGAGAAAGGTATAAGTGATACTCAGGTTTCAGCTTTAAGGAGCTAGGTGGAAAACAGGGCCATTTAACCAGAAAGGGAGCCACAAGTTTATGACGCAGTGAGCAGTTTGGCGGTGGACATGTGGCCCTCTCCCTCCTTGCTAGTCCATGCACCCCCCACTGCGAGGAATCATGTAATGAGGGTAAGAATTTAACCACCCTCTGCTCCAGAAACACAAATCCTGACCTGTGTGAGCTAAAATGCATCACACCGACACATGCATGGCCCAAATGCACGTTTCTGGAGGGAGCCTCAGACACTTTTGTTTGGTGTTGAAAGAAACCAGCTCTCTCCCGCTACTTAGACTTGAAACAGGAAACATGTAGTGGCTGACAGCAGGCATTTTTTTTGATGCAGCAAAAGGATGAAGCTGATACAAGAGGAGGGCAAAACCACAAGCACTATAAAGAGAAGAATGCAAGCCAGAGCTCTGATGCAAGCAAGACGGAGGGCTGGCCTGCCTCTGGGCTCCTCGGTGATGCACGCCTGTACGCCTGCTGCCGCAAAAGCTCGCCTGAGTGGGCTTCCTAGTGCTTCCAACTACAGGCACTGACCTAACATAGGCACTGGAGATGGAAAGGGAGTCTGTAAATCATAAGCCCGAAATAATGAAATTGGCTCAACTGAAAAAGAGTAAGGAAGATTTCTTGTCCCTCGGCATCGCCTGCTGTGCCTTCAGACCAGACCAGATGACTACCACTGATCCTATCATACTAAGGACCCAGTAAGGATAAAAATGAGGCTATCCAAACATTTTGGCTATTCCTCATAGCTTTTACTAATGTCCTACACACAAATGTTTACAGTATTGCTCTCTGTGTTTTTAGTTGTCAAATAAGATATTTTAAAATCCTCAGCATGAAAAAAAATAATTCCTAATAAAATACACACTTGAGGAAGAAAGTCTAGATCCTATTTGTTGTTTTACAGCCTTATAATCTATTATAATAACCAGAACCTGGCCAAAAATTTGACTGTAAATTTAGACGTAAGAGGATTTAAGAATAATTAAATAAGTGCTTCAAATTTTAATTCAGGAATTATAAATTATAAAATACAAAATCCTGAGAAGATTAATTAAAAATAAATAAAGAAATAGAGGAGTGCCAGGGTGGCTCAGTGGGTTAAGCATCCAACTCTTGATCTCAGCTCAGATCTTGATCTCAGGGTTGAGAGTTCAAGCCCCATATTGGGCTCCATGCTGGGTGTGAGCCTATTTAAGAAAAAGAAAGAACTAGATACTCTACATGTCAAAGGCACTCTCCAGCCTAAGTAATAGAGAGGTCAATCAATACAGAGACTAATATTTGAAATACTTCAAAACAAAATGCTATGATTTTCAAAAATACAATTCCAGTAACCAGATCTTTTCATTTTTCCAGTATACGAAAGCCAATTTCAAATTACCAGAGAGTGAAACAAGATATTATCATATATCACATACATACATACGTATGTATGTATATACATGTTTACAAAGGTGTGCACACGCACACACACTCACACTCACACATACACATACAGATTTCAAGGTTAGCAATGATGTGAGGATTTATTGATGCCTATGGCCAAAGTTTTAAATAGGATATAATGTGAGAATTACCAAATTCAGCACTGACATACTACAGTCCTTCCTCTTCTTAACTTACTCATCTTATTTTGTTTTTCCTAGTTCTCTGTAGTGTGCCCTTCTCCTGATCTGTCTCTATATGATTTACTGTTTGCTTACTATTTTCCGTCGTCTCCCTCTGGATGTGTCTAGCCATCTCTGAGTATGTCCCAGAACACCTCTGCACCTTCTGCTCCGAAGCTGGGTCTCTCTTTTGCTATCTCTTTGCTCTGCCTTCTTCCTTCCTTTGATATATTTAACTCATCTGATATGGTTATATAATCAAAGTTTATAATCTCTGCTCTATCATTTTTAAAAAGTAAGATGACTTTTATTTCTGATTTTGTAAGAAAAAAAAATTGATTCCTGAATTCATCTGTTTTGTGTAGCTCTGAACAGATTTACTCACTGAGTTAGTGTCATGAGAAGTGCTGCTTATTCACCGCAGAAAAACCATTTTTACTAAGGTCTTCAGATCAAAAGAGTCATTCCTTGGACAGTATAAAATTAACCTTATGGATTCACTAATCTAAATTACTAAAAAACAGCGTTCAAATTCTGGGAGTTATGTCTCATATGTACACTTGTTTTAAAAATTCAAGTTTCCTAAAATAATTTTCTATTAAATGGATGGAATACCTAATTTGATAGCAACTTATAAAAATGTTGCAAATTTACTGAGTATCTATGCTGTGACTTGACTTTGTCACCTGCAGAGTTTTACCATTGTCAGAATCTTCAATATTATAAAGTATAATAAATAATAGCATTTTACAAATGTATGAACTAAAAGTAGGTCTACAGAGAGAAAAAAGGAAGCAGAAAGAATTAACCCAATCAAACTGGATGGTCAACAGTATAGCAGAAATCAAAATTCTAAAGTCTTGGTTCCTGGAATACAAACATTAACTTCTATGCTTCCATCATTTTTATCTTTTTTGTTTTTTATAATACCAGCTTAATTCTCCATGGATACAAATATAGCAAATTATTTGTTTTAATTTGGAGTACATTTAAATAGTTTTCTTCTGGAGTGCCTGGGTGGCTCAGTCGGTTAAGCACCTGATTTCAGCTCAGGTCATGATTTCATGGTTCGTGAGTTTAAGCCCTGCATCAGGCTCTGTGCTGACAGCTCAGAGCCTGAAGCCTGCTTTGGAATCTGTGTCTCCCTCTCTCTCTGCCCCTCCCCCACTCGTGCTCTGCTTCTCTCTGTCTCAATAATAAATAAACATTAAAAATAAATACAGAGGGGCGCCTGGGTGGCTTAGTCGGTTAAGCGTCCGACTTTCACTTAGGTCATGATCTCGCGGTTCGTGGGTTCGAGCCTCGCGTCGGGCTCTGTGCCGACTGCCAGCTCAGAGCCTGGAGCCCGTTTCAATCTGTGACTCCCTCTCTCTCTGACCCTCCCCTGCTCACGCTGTCTCTCTCTGTCTCCTAGAAATAAATAAAACATTAAAAAAAATTTTTTTAAAAATAAAAAAATAAATAAAAAATAAATAAAAATAAATACAGAAATAAACAGTTTTCTTCTAGTGTTAAAAGGTGTGTAAGACAATGTTATGCACTGAAAAAAATTAAAATAGCATCCTAAACATACAGAGAAGAAAACAAGACTAGAGTCAAGAAGCATTTACTATTTCAGGGTAAGGAAAAGTTAGTTTCAAGGTCAAATAGAAGGTCTCATAATCAAATTCACAACTCACCTATACTTCTCTGGATAGAAAACAGCTATACTAAGGTACTTATAATTTTACCAAACACTATGTCTCAGTGTTATGATTCTCCATAATTTTATAAAGTTTAATATGTGATAGTAAGTCACTCTGGCATTTAACCAGTCTTTAGAAGGAAGTATGGAGTAATTTCCCTTTTAACTGTGATTCTAAGTTGACAGCGCAGCAAGACATTCTGGATGAAGGATTACTAAGTAAACATGTAAGGTACTAGCCTGTCTTATGCAGCAATCATGAAGTTGAGGAGGAGGCTGATGGACTGTTCCACGCTGATTTGGTGAGTAGAAGGAAGGCGCTTATTCAGCTGATAGTAGACAGACGAGATGACGGTTTCGAGGCGGGACACACTGATCTCAGTGGTATGATCCAGTGTATTAAGGCCATTGTCTCGGAAGGCTTCAATCATGTTCCAGATATCAACAAGATGGACTGAAACACAAGGAAAATAAACTGTCAACAATTTAAAAGTTTTATTTCATCAGAAAGATATAAGAACTTTTCATATATTTATATCTAATAGGATAGTGAAGGGAGGCAGAATAGGACCCCAAAATACACCACTTTGCCACAAGGACTATTTTGAGCTAAAGACACTTGAAAACTAGCAGGTGCCAGGAAGGTCATACTAAATTCTTCTTTTTCCTGAAAGCAGGAAATAAACTCCCAAGTGGAAGATGCCCTGCCTATTCCAAGGGGATAGAAACATTCTTACCCCAGAAACAGTGAACTGAGTCCAAGAGAAGTCTGCATAGACTTTGTTACAATAACCTATCTTCCTGGAGTCTTCCCATATATTTTAGTTATTTTGTCACAACTGCTGCTCCTCCTTCTTCCCTCGTGTAGCAGCACATAGGCCTCCTCACTCCTTCAGGTCTTCATCTTCCTATGGGGGCTCCCAGGTATGGGGAAAACTCTGCGTGCTCTTCTGCCAGTCTATGTCAACTTAATTCCCAGGCCCAACCAGAGACCCTAAGAGGGTAAAGGTAAAGTTTTGCCCCCCCTACAATAGCATCAAAAATATATATATTAGAAAATTTAACAGAACCTCAAGAGACAAACTTCACAACCTTAGTGGGAGAAATTAACACATTTCCCTTAGTAAGTGATAGAGGAAACATACAATTTGTATGTGTGGATGCAGACAATTAAACTTTACAGCTGACAAAGTAGGCATAATGGGCACTATATGAAATACTGCCCCTAGTGATTACTGAATATGCTTTATTTTCAAGAGCACAAACCACAGTCTGAAAATTGACCTTACCTTCAGTCATAAAGCTAATCCAGGCAAATTTCAAAGGATTCAAGTAATATAAACCAATATAAACCAATCTCTGATCAAAATGAGATTAAGTAAGAAATCATCAAAAAACCCCACTTTTCAAATAAACCAATCTCTGATCAAAATGAGATTAAGTAAGAAATCATCAAAAAACCCCACTTTTCAAATAAACCTTACATTCAGAAATGAAAAAACACAATAGTAGGGAATGTCCCTAATCTGATTAAGGGTATTTACAGAAAACTGCAGCAAACATATTACTTAAAAGTAAAAGATTGAAAGTTTTTCCTCTGATATGTGAATGAGATAAGAAAGGCTCACCATCAAATGTAAATTGGTATGGCCACCGTGGAAAACAATATGGAGGTTCCTCAAAAAATTAAAAATTATGATACTACATGATCCAATAATTCTACTACTGGGTATTTACCCAAAGAAAACAAAGATACTAATTCAAAAAGATATATACTCCCCTACGTTTACTGCATCGTTATTTACATTAGCCAATATATGGTAGCAACCTAAGTGTCCATCAATAGGTGAATGAATAAAAAGGATGTGGCATATATGTAGAACAGAATATTAATCAGCCTTGAAAAAGAATGAGATCTTACCATTTGCAACATGGATGGACCTAGAGGGTATTATATAGTAAGTGAAGTAAGTCAGACAGAGAAAGACAAATACCACATGATTTCACTTATATGTGGAATATAAAAAACAAATGGACAAACCAGCAAAAAACAGAACAGGCCCATAAATACAGAGAACAAACTGGTCTTTGCCAAAGGAAAGAGGGTGGGCAGATGGACAAAATGGGTGAAGAGGAATGGGAGATACAGGCTTCTAGTTAGGGAATGAGCAAGTCCTAGGAATAAAAAGTACAGCACAGGGACTATAGTCAATGGTACTGCAATAGCATTGTATGGTGACAGATGGCAGCACAAGTGATATGCAGATCATAACACAGAGTTGTAGAATCATTATGTTGTATATGTGAAACAAATGTAACATTGTGTATTAACTGTACTTCAACTAAAAAAAAGAGAGAAGAAAAGAAATGCCCACTATCATCATTTCTATTGTACTTTGGGTCCTAAGCCAACGTAAATAGGCAGTAATTATCCATGTAAGTTTTTATGGATACTGACAAAATTTAACTGTCATTATTCAGAAATGATTAAATTCTACACATAGATTATCAAAGATTCTCCAGATAAATTAGAAAAATTGATATTTGAGTCTAGAATGATTGCTAGAGACAAGTCAAGATATAAAAGCCACTGTATTTATATTAGTAACAGAAAATGAAATTTTAGGGGAGCCTGAATGGCTCAGTCAGTTAAGCATCCAAATCTTGATTTGGGCTCAGGTCATGATCTCACAGTTGTGACATCAAGCCCCACATCAGGGTGTGTGTTGGACGTGGAGTCTGCTTAAGATTCTCTCTCTCCTCCTGTCCCACCTCCGCTTCTCTCACTCCCTCTCTCGTTTAGAAAAATAAAAAAAGGGACACCTGCATGGCTCAGTCAGTTGAGCATACAACTTCAGCTTAGGTCATGATCTTGTGGTTCATGGGTTCAAGCCCCACATCAGGCTCTGTGCTGACAGCTCCGAGCCTAGAGCCTGCTTCAGATTCTGTGTCTCCCTCTCTCTTTGTCCCTTTCCCACTCATCCTCTGTCTCTATCTCTCAAAAATGAATAAACGTTAAAAAAAATTTTAACAAAAGAAAATAAATAAAAAAGAAAAAGAAAATGAAATTTTATATACTATTTATAATAGTATCATAATTCATCAAAGATTTAGGAATAAATCCAATGGAGAAAGTAAAACATCTCCACAAAAAAGAAAAATTATAAATATAACTGGCAGAAATTAAAGAGCTAAATATATGGAGGAATATGTCGTGTTCACTGGATCTCAATTCCAATCTCAATATTGGAAATATGTCGAGTCTCCCCAACTTAATCTATAGATTCCATGCAGTCTCAACAAAATGCCACAGGGCTGTACATTAAAATAGGATAAATTTTACTATATGTAAATTACAATTATGAAAAGAAATTAAGAGGGGTGCCTGGGTGGTTCAGTCAATTAAGGGTCCAACTTGGTTTCAGATCAGGTCATGATCTCACTGCTTCGTGGGCTCGAGCCCCACATTGGGCTCTGTGCTGGCAGCATGGAGCCTACTTAGGATTCTCTCTCTCTTCCCTCTCTTTACCCCTTCCCCACTTGCATTGTCTTTGTCTCTCTCAAAATAAATAAACTAAAAAAAAAGTAAAGATGGAAAACATCCCAGCAGTGTTGTTTTATTGTTTATTTTTAGTACAAATTGATAATTAGATTCTAAAATTTATATGAAAATAAATATAAAAAGGCCAAAAATGTCCCAATCTGGAAAAGAAAAACAGAACAAAGTAGGAAGACTTGCTCTGATATTAAGACTTATTACAAAGTTATAATAGCAATTACTGGTAGGACAGACAGAGCAGTGGAACACGTGAGTCTAAAACCATATAAGAAAACTGCTGTGAACATTCTTATACATTTCTTCTGATGAGTATGAGGAAAAGATTTTGGGATAGTGAAGAAAAAAGGTTGTTTTTTTTCATTAAACCTTGTAAAGAACAACAGACCATACATATGGATAAAACTGAAATTTTACTCCTACGTAAACTATATACCCACAAAATTTTTTTTCAGGTTGATTAAAAGAATCACATGTGAGGGGTGCCCGGGTGGCATGGTTGGTTAAGTGTCTGGCTCTTCCACTTTTTTAATGTTTATTTATTTTGAGAGAAGAAGAGTACAAACAGGGAAGGGGCGGAGAGAGAGTCCCAAGCAGGCATGGCACTGTCAGCACAGAGCCTGACACAGGGCTCAATCCCAATAACCATAAGGTCATGACCTGAGCCCATATCAAGAATAGGGCGTTTAACCAAATGAGTCACCCAAGTGCCCCAAGTGTCTGACTCTTGATTTCAGCTCAGGTCATGATTCCAGGGTCGTGGGATTGAGCCTCACATCAGGCTCCACACTGGGCATGGAGTTTGCTTAAGTTTCTCTCCCTCTCCCTCTCTCTCCCTCTGCCTCTCTCCCAGGCTCATGCACACTCTCTCCCTCTCTCTCAAAAAAAAAAAAAAAAAATCATATGTGACAAAACAAAGTTTCTAGAACAAAGCATCTTTTACTGTAAAAATAATTACAGGGAGATTTATTAAAATGGTAGTTGCTCTGATAGTGATTTTCAAACTTTTTTACCACAACCCACAGAAATATATTACACACACACACACTTCTAAATATATTAAAAAACCCAGAAGTTTCACAAAATACTTTTAGTCTTACCATATAATTTGTGTTCTGATTTCTTTTCTTTCTCTTTTTTTCTCTATTACATGCTTTAAATTCTGGCTACAGTCCATCAGAATGATTTCATTAGTGGGTCAGAACCCATCATTTGAAAAACAATGCTTTGAAAAACCAAAGACTTCAGTCGAAGATGGCAGGGTGAACTCTCTAGAAAGAATTTCATACTAGGATTTTTGAGTAACAGAGTAGAATAGAAGTATTTAGATATAAAGTGACTTATCCAACATCACGTGTTTATAGTAAATGCCAAAATCAGGACTAAAACTAAAGTGAAAACTAAGAAAAGTAAAATAATTCTGTCACAAGTTAATCTTCATGGAAATTAAGAAAGATTTTATATGGCGTGCCTGGGTGGCTCAGTCGGTTAAGCGTCCAACTTTGGCTCAGGTCACGATCTCACAGTCCATGGGTTCGAGCCCTGTGTCAGGCTCTGTGCTGACAGCTAGCTCAGAGCCTGGAGCCTGCTTCAGATTCTGTGTCTCCCTCTCTCTCTGACCCTCCCCCGCTCGCTCTCTGTCTGTCTCTCAAAATAAAATAAAAACATAAAAAAATTAATAAAAAAAGATTTTTTAAAAATATTTATTTCTGAGAGAGAGACAGCGTGAGCAGGGGAGGGTCAGAGAGAGAGGGAGACAGAGACTCTGAAATAGGCTCCAGGCTCTGAGCTGGCAGTCAGCACAGAGCCCGACGCAGGGCTCGAACCCACAAACCGTGAGATCATGACCTAAGTGAAAGTCGGACGCTTAACAGACTAAGCCACCCAGGCGCCCCTAAAAAAAGATTTTATATGCATGTGTGTGTACATATATGTATCTGTACATATACATATGTATTTTTTATTTACTTATTTTATAAGTAGCAACTGTGGAGTGATTGCTTATAGAAAAAACCTATTCATGTTGTATTCATTTTAATCAAGATAATTAATTTATTACACCTCTATCAAAACACTAATGTTTTTGTTTTTCTTCCAGAAGCCGATTAAAAGGGTGAGAAGGAGAAAGCAATTCTCCCATTTAAAGAACATTAATACTATGCCAGCATCAAAACCAATTACATTATTGAGTTGAGTAAACATTTTGAGGGACAAGTCCTTTCCATGACAAAGCTTACATTTTAATAAACATTTAAGACAAAAATAATTCAGTTAACATTACAACAGAACTAAAAGATACTAAAACCTTTTCTTTTATATTATCAAGAGCACTATCCAGCTAACACAGAAATTAGTGGAAATGACTTACGGTTGCATCGCTTTTGTACGAATCGTAATTTGCAAGCTGTTCTATAAGTTGACAGTCGTATAACATCAAAATTCTGAGCACCTGAAAAAAGGGTAAACAACAGATGTCAGCGGGACTTACCGTTTCATTTCTAAATGCTGGGAAGTGACTCTATTCCACAGCGTGGGCACAGGCTATATATAACATGGCAACTAGGCTTTCTTCTGAGAAAACAAAAGGGGTGAGGAAGGGTTTAGGCACTCCTTCTTCATGCCTGCTCCATGCCCGGCACCATGCCAGCAGTTCTGCCTATAGTACCCTGTCTGCAGCCTAACAAAACTCTGAGGGAGAACACACATAACTAGAGTGAATCTTTCCTTCATTATCGTTTATATGAGAAATACCAGGAGAACTAGTGTGAGAAGCTGGGAAAGGAAAGTTCCATCCCCAGCTAACCAAAGATTACTAATCTGATCGATCAGACAGTTAGACATTTATTAGGCCATGTTTACCAGTGGAGAAGTAACTATAGGAAAAAGTCAGTACATATGGTTTGTAACTCACTCTCTTCAGGTTCTTTCTCTAGGGCAGTTAGAGTCAGATTTAGGTACTGCAAAATGGCATAGAGCAAATAGCACATGAGTCCAAAGCGAACTAGTGAGGGTAATGGGAAACCACAAGCTCCAGCCCAATTTGCCAGAAATCTTTCCTCTGAAGTTTAAGGTGCTAGTCAAGAATTAATTATCACTGTTTTCCTTTGTCATTTTTTTTAACCCTGTGAAAATACATCCCTCCAAACCCAGTGGAAAAAAAGTAACAGTGGGATGGCACAGGATTCAAAAATTCTAGGGATCCCTGGCCATAACATCATTTAAAAGAAAAAAATCTAACAGCAGTCTGAATCCCAAAATAATTTCTACAAGTTAAGATATAATCAATAACTTTAGAACTTTATTAAAATCTTATGCCATGATTTGAATGAATGACACGAATGCATGTGCCAACATTCAACCATTCAGGTTCTCAAACTTCTCATACATTTACCGTCTTCTGAAGCAGTCCCCTTTCCTGATTTCTATAAGTAAAACCCTCATACACTGGTCTAAGAATAGCCTTCACTTTTTAAAAATGTCCCTTATGTAAATGTCATGTCGATTTACTGATCATAAAATATGGTAGTTGGGCACACAAAAAATAGAACAGAAAGCCCCCAGTGAAGAAACTGAAATGATTATCCCTTTGGGTATTCTGAACTAGAAGAGATTACTCTTCATTTCATCATCATTTATTTTGAGAATGTTTCATTATAAGAAAGACACGAAAATGTCCCTTTAATACTAATATGTCAGACAGTATGTATCAAGCTTATCAAGAAATGTTACGGGCAGAACCCTAGCCACAGGTGGGGGGAGACCAGTGAGGCTCCTGGATACATAGGAGACAAGCTAGAAATACTGAGTACCCACGAGGTAGAGGGAAAGGATAAGAAAGGATTAGACCTCTTTCTTTATTATGGTTCTGTTTATTCATGAGAACAGGATATCAACTTCTATAATACAACCAAATCCCAAGGAAAGCAAAGAATGAAATGGATGGGTTTCATTGTATCAGCTTGTATCAGAGTCTCCTGGGGAACCTGGAATCTTCAGTCTAGAGAGTCTGATAATCAAGCTAGGTTTGGGAAACATAACTATCCAACTCAACTAAAAGATCTGGCTCATACAACTCTTAAATTCTACCTCACACCCAAGTCCAATCAGTATGGGCTACCTATAATTACCCAAACATGCCAAACCCTCTCAACTGAGCCTTTGTAAGTGCTACTTACTGCTCCAGCTCCTTCTTCATCACATCACTGAATGGACTCAGCCTAGATGTGACTTCCTCCCAGATCTCTTCCTGGACCCTCCCCCTTCCCCACCCTCTGCTGAGCTACCCCAATCATGGCTCCTACTGCCCCATCGTTCCTTATTTCCATGTCCAGGAAACTAAGTTTCATGAACACAGAAACCATTTTATTGTTGTGTTGTTCACTATTATATGCCCAAAAGTAGGACATATAAAACTAGTTCCTGAAATATTTGCTGAATGGATAAATAACTGAAAATTAGGAAGTTCTATGTTGCTGGTATAAAAGACTGATCTCCTTCCTTCCAAAAACATACCAAGTAAAGTCAAAGTATCAGACAAACTATACAATTTTGGAAAAACTGATACAGAAGGATGATAAAAGTAGAGGGAAGCCAACTTCTTTCTCCAGGTAAGCATGATGATACATTTAGCCTTCTTCAGGTAGAGCATAGGATTCCAAACCATGTTCGTGGGAGCCACAGGATTTGGTGGAGGTGCTTGGCAGACCACGAGAGGTGCAAGAAAGTAAGTGTATTTTGTTAGAAAGACCTCTAACTGAGAGATGAGGAGGAGAGGAGAAAGGGGAGAAGAAATTACAAACTGAATGAATCTAAGTATGGCAACATTTCTGAATTGTCTGAAAACTTATAACCACTTTTAATAAGGAAAAAAAAACTTTTCAAGAGAATGAGTCTGAATAAGTAACAAATATAAACATAAATGACTTCCTTATTTTTTTCTTGCTGTACAATTAGAAACCCTGGGGACTAGAGATGAAGCCAGAAGTCCCAGCGGACAGGAAGGTACAGACCACAGAGTGGTGACTCTCTCAGGGGGTGAACTTAAAAAAAAGAAAAAAACAATACCACAAAGGGAAATGGTAGGAACACATGACTAGCTCCACCTAGATTTAGATTTAAATTTTATTTATTTATTTTTTTTTTTAGAGAGAGAAAGACAGAGAAAGACAAAGCATGTGTATGAGGGGGAGAGAAGCAGAAAGGGAGAGAGAGAAAATTCTAAGCAGGCTCCACACCTAACATAGAGCCCAACGTGGAACTCAATCCCACAACCCTAGGATCATGACCTGAGCTGAAATCAAGAGTCAGATGCTCAACTGACTGAATCACCCAGACACACCTAGATTGAAATTTTAAGAGCAGGCAAAGATAGTAATAAATAGATTAGACAAAAACAAAATTGATTATACAAAAGAACTGTAAAGTCTAACTTGTGGCATTTAAAAAGATAAAACTGGGGCACATGGGCAGCTCAGTCGATTTGAGTGTCCAACTCTTGATTTCAGCTCAGATCGTGATCCCAGGGTCATGGGATCAAGCCCCACATCAAGCTCTGTGCTGAGCATGGAGCCTGCTTAAGATTCTCTCTCTCTTTCTCTCTCTTTCTCTCTCTCTCTCTCCCTCTGCCTCTCTCCTGTGCTCACTCTTTTCCTCTCTCCCTAAAAACAGAAAATAAAAAAATGTTTAAAAATTTTTAAAAAGTTAATCCTAAAAATAGCATGTCTTTCATAAAAGAGGTGCTGTAAAATATTATATTCCAGTATTACTTTGAACAAAGTTACAAATATCGGTAAGTTCTGGACTTCATTTTAATTGATGTTAGAATTTCTAGAGTAGCCACAAAAAGAATAGGAAAAGAATACAAAAACTCACAACCAAGAAGAGGGAAAAGTAGAATGTAAGGAAGGAAGCTCAATTCGTCTAAGCAAGGCAAGAAAGGAAGAAGAGAAAAAAGGACACAGTTGAAGCACAAAACAAGATGGAAGAATGAAATATATCTGTATTCATAAAAAAATTAAACAATAAATTCTTCAGTGAAAAAGCAAAGACTGTCAGTCACAATGGTGGTTGTTAAATAATTTAGCTTATGCTGTTTACAGGGGATACGAACAAAACATAAGGCTATAGAAAGTTTTTGAAGAGAATGAAAAGATACTATACAAGGCATTCTAACCAAAAAAAAAAAAGTTCATGCCACCATACTAATAACAACAAAACAGACTTCACAGCAAAACATATTACTAGAAAAGGAGGGTACCTACATAATGACAAAATTTGCCTAGGTAGATGTAACATTTAATGCCTGCGCATCTACAAACAAAAGCTTCAATCATTGAGAGAACTAAAGGAACAAATTTTAAATCTATGATCAAAGCAGAGATTTTTAACGTCTTTTAGTAATTAAGGAGTCAAATCCATAAGGACAAAAAAAGTCTGAATAAAACATGTAACAGGTTTGATCTAAATAATGCAGAAATTATACACATTACTTTCAAGCACACATGGAATATTTACAAAAAACATGTAACAAAAAATATCACCAAATTCAAAGATTCTAGAACATCTCTCGATCCCAATTAGGCTAAGTATTTTTTAATTAAAAGTCATTTGTTTGCAAATTTTTTAAAAGAGTACTGTAAATAATTCCTAACAGAAATAAAAAAACAGAGAAGTGATCATAAAAATGGCATATATCAAAACATACGGAGCACAAAAATAGAAAGTCATAGGAAAGAAGTTCTTAAGTGCTTATATAAGAAAGAAACAAAGTATGAAAATAAGAAGGCAGAAAAAGAACAACAGAATTGCCTAAAATAGAAAGAAGAAAATAATAAACACAAGAGAATGAAATTATGAGGAAGAAACAAAAATACATGGAGAGGACCAACAAAAGCCAAAAGTTCCTTGAAAAGACCAGTAAAATTGATAAAGTTCTGGAAAAGAAAAAATAAAATCACAATCTCTGAGACTGGAGGGAGGCCTGGTGTCCGCATTTTATCATCTGACCTAGAGAGCTTTTACTTTAGCTCCGGAGCTGCAAACTACGGTTCTAACTTATCACCTTTAATTTTTCCTCGTAATTTTATATCATGTAAGAATTATAAACTACCAAATTACTTCTATGTAGTTTATTCCACTCTTCTTTTAATAAATATTTATCGAGCTACTGGGTCTACCACAATAAGGAGACGTGATCCTTATTTTCATGGTACTTAGAGTCTATCAGAGAAAATATTAAACAAAGAAAGAAAAAACTAATTTCACTGCTCTTCATATGAATTTAAAGATACAGTCTAAAAACAGAAAAGCTTAAGAAGATCATAGAAAGGTATCACGATGGTATAATAATAAAGTCACACAGAAAAAAAAATACAACCTATCTAAAATTATTAAATTATTATGACTGCTTTCATACTGTAACAGCAGGGTTCGGTTGCTGTGACAGAGAACTCATCATATGGCCTGCAAATCCTAAAATATTTACTTTCTGACCCTTTAAGGAAAATACTGCCAGCCCTAGCACTATATTTACAGAGTAAAAGAGAAATCTATTCATCTCAAGGGAAGCAGAAAACATCTGATAAAATTCGATACTTGTTCATAATTTAAAGAAATAACAAATAGAGAATGAAGAAAATAATAGTAGTAACTCTTGGTAACCTACAAATAGTTCCTTAACCTGATAAAGGGTACAAAACCTGAAACAAATACATTTTAGTAGTCAAGTATTACATCTGTCCCCATTAAAGTGACAGACAAGACAAGGGTGGATGCTATTCCTGTTCTTATAATATCAGAGATCCTAATGAGCAGGTACGTAATGAAAAAGGGGTATAAGAATCTCAAGAACAAGAATCAAAACTGTCTTCCTTTAAACTCTCATAGAATGTACCACATCAAGAATGGACCCTCACGTAACCTAGGAACTTTGGGTGCTACAATTTGTCAACAAGGCCCATCAGTTTTAATGAGCATTCCCTCTCGCGGAGGGTGTGGATAATGGGGGAGGCTGTGCATGTGTCGAGACAGGGGCTATATGGGAAGTCTCCACGCCTGCCCCTCGATTTTACTGTGAACCGAAAGCTGCTCTAAAAAAGTGAAGTCTCTTTTAAGAAAAAATCTATTAATTACCCATTGAGACTAATAAAAGAGTGGAGAAAGATCACTGGATTCAAAATTGACATGAAATCAACCCAAAACCTAGAAGGTAGGACCGTATAAGAAGGCTGGCAAAAGACGGTTCTGCAGCCAAAGAAGGGGATGAACCGGAGATTTGGGGGGTGTTGAAAATGAGAGTGCAGGACAGATACCGCTGCCACTGATGCAATTCTTCCCATGAAGAGACAGGGGAGACAAGAAACCGTACGAAATATCTTCCAGACTGTCTACATCCTCGAGTCTGTTCCAGAGAATGGTAATTTATCCAGCACTCATGTGTCAGAATAACATTCACTAAGCAGTAAACCCAATTCTTGCCAGAAAACCCAGTATCTATTCCAAATATCTGCCCTCCCTATACTCTCTCACATGCCCATGTTTGTTTCCTGAAGGCACCCCAGGCGCTTCTTTTTTATTTTTTGAATGTTTATTTATTTTTGAAAGAGAGTGCATGTGAGTGGGGGAGGGGCAGGAAAAGGAGGGACAGAGGATCCAAAGCAGGCTGGCAATGACAGCAGAGAGCCCCATGCGGGGCTCAACACAACAACTGCAAGATCATGACTTGGGTCAAAGTCAGACACTCAACCAACTGATTCACCCAGGTACCACCCCTCATTCTCCCGACTTCTTTTTTTTGAGAGGGAACAAGTGAGTGAGGGGCAGAAAGAGAGACAAAAACAGAATCCCATGAGGGACAGAGAGAGAAGGAAAGGGAGAACCAGAGCTCACCCGAAGTGGGGCTAGAGCTCACCCAATGCAGAGCTCAAACTCACGACCTGAGCTGAAGTCAGATGCTTAACCAACTGAGCCACTCAGGCATCCCTCCTCTACCCCTCCACCCAGTACTTCTTAATATCAAGAATTATTGCTTATTTCTTTGGTTTCCTTATTTTGTCTGTTTCCCCTTGCCAAAGTGTAAGCAATAGGAGAAAAGTCAGTGACTACATTTTGTCACATTAACCCAGGACCTGAAACAGACTGCTTTAGTTTAACAGAAAAGTAACAATAATAAAAATACTAAACACAGCTAATCGCATTAAGTACTGACTATTCTGTGCCCATGCTAAGTGCCTGACATTATCTCATTTCATCTTGACAATAATTCTATGGAATAGATACTATTCTCATTTTATGGACAAGAAAACTGTAGCAGAGATTAAGTAACTCACCTAAGATTATACAGCCAGTAAATGAGGAAGCCAAGATCCAAACACAGATAGTCTGATGGCAGAGCCTGGATTAAAGCCACTATGGCATGAGAAACAGACAATTTAAGAGTCTCGTATGAGGTAAAACTCAGCTGCACTTTATGATTTCTCTGGAGGTGGAAGGTGAGGTGGAAGGTGACGTGGAGGGAAGGGACTACAGGGTGTCTGGTTTAGATGTCCCTCAGTGAGAGACTCAGAAGTACAGGACTCTAACTTAAAGATCACCTGGACTGACTGTCCACCCAATGCCAACGTTTCTTCTCTGACATCTTCAATACTTCTCTAGCTTATGCTTGACAGGACAACATAGATCTGAGTTAAGTCAAACTGTCTCCCGTTACTAAGACTCTAATGATTTAAAATATCTTGATTGTTGAAAGAGGCTGCTGAGACTTTATCTACTGATTTTTACTCTGTGATATGCAGAATTCTAGAATCCTACAAGTACTTTAGGGGCTATCTCAGGCAGGACTCTTGCCTCCCCTCTTCAACCAAGCAGTATCAATTTTATGACACTCTCATGTTAAGCGTCCTTGTAAGATCTCATTTTTTAAAAAGAGAGCAATGCTTTTTTTTTTGAGATGAGAATGGGTCTTTTATTGAAGTTGTCTAGAAGTTCTTAAAATCTTCAAATGCAGATAACATTGGGGGAATGAAAGGAGAGTAATGCTTTTTAAAAGCTATCATGATCATTGTACAGACCAATAACCCTATCTCATGGCAAAGGAATTTGTGGTCCACCAAGTGTGGATGCACTAGTCAAGGTCACATAGACAAGTAATCGGAGACCAAAATAATCATTCAAATACTAGGAAATGACCCACTCCTCTTGGCCATCTTTCTTTTTCTTTGAGTTTTATAGAAGAATATAATTCTTTAACAAGATTTAAAACCGTATTTAAAGTAATTATACATTTGTTCTTTTAATTATTCCTATAGCTCTAAGTTATAGCACAGTCCTCTATACCTCAGAATCTGTATCTAGTGTAAGCTAATTTATATAATGCATGAATTATTTATCACCATCTGCAAGTTCATATTAACAATGGAGTTACAGCAAGAGGTCTAAACTAACTGGTGTGCTTTGGGCACCTGGCTATCTCAGTCAGTAGGGCATGTGACTCTTAACCTCAGCTTGGGTGAAGCAATTACCTAAAACCAAAATCTTAAAAATAAATAAATAAATAAACTGACTGGTGTGCCTTAACTCACAGATATGCTAGGTAATATTTCTGCTTTGTATTCATGATCTCACTTAAAAAAGTAATTCAAGTCAGGGCACCTGGCTGGCTCAGTTGGAAGAATATACAACTCTTGATCTCCGGGTCATGAGTTCAAGTCCCATGTTGGGAGTAGGTACTTATATAAATAAATATTTTAGAAAAGAAAGAAAGAAAGAAATTCAAGTCAACTCAATTACAATATATGCTCTGACTTGAGTTCCTACGACTCATTCTTTAACTCCCTTTCTTCTCTTTTCTAAAGCTTGGAACATGCTAAGGATTAAAGATGTGACTTGATCAGAAAAAGAAAAAAGGCATCCCCACACATACAAACAAGGGCACCAGAAGCACTCAACACTCACGCATCTCTATGAAGAGCTGCCTCTTCTCTGCCATCGTCTTCCGCTTGTTCCCGCTTTCCTCAATCATCCTAGAGACAAAGAAAGATACAATAACCCACTGTAATTTGAAGTTCAACCAAGAGCTTATCCTTCTATTATGAAAAACCAAGTTGTATGTGCACATTTAAGAGAGTATCAGCAAAAACAAAGTGAACTCTGATATAGAAAAAGAAAAATCACTGTCCCTTTATCTGAAAGCTTCTAAAATTATTACAAAGTCAATAATTAAATGAGCACATACACTTGCTTCCTGTGCTGAAAATATGGAGCTATGTCTTCTTTCTAACTTCGATTATTTTCTCTGCAGAGTCCTGGATTAGCTGAGACACAGTTTCCCATATCCCTACTAGTTTACAAAGATAAACATGTTACTAAGTATAATTTAGAAAATAATTATAATGAAAGGTTAATGTAAAGAATGTAAGAATAGTTATTAGCTTATACATAAAAGATATAAGTAAAATCTTCTTTTTTTATACTAAACAATATTAAACAAAAAAGGTATTTATCCCCCAAGCTCAAAGAGCCCCTAAAGGTAAGTTTTTATCACATGATAAGAGTTTAGGTTGACAGACCTAGGCTGTCACTCTTTAATAGAGTTTTAATAAGAGTTTTAATAAGAGTTTTAATAACTCTTTCCATGCATTACCTCATTTAACCCTTCCAACCACCCTAGACACTGGTATGGTTATTATTATGCCCATTTTATAAATTAGGAAACAGCCTGGAAAAGAACACTAACTTGCTTGCTAACACTAACTTTGCTAACACAAACCAAAGTAGTAGAGTGAAATCCCAACCCTTTCACTAAATTTCTTACATAATTGTAGCTTTTAGATGCATACAGCCAAATCTCTACACTTAAAAAGCTAAAAAACAAACAGCCCATTGCACAGACCCTACTGATGCAAAATCTCTAATAATTTCAATTGAATTTTGCCTTATTCTGTGAAGAAAAAATATTTAGACAAAGAGCATAAGCCAAACAATTTCCCTAAGCAAATTAAACTGTTGTAAATCATGAAGTGATTTACATAACATATTCTCAAATATGTTAGAATCACAAATTAAATGATGGCTATACAAATTACATATCCATTAAGACAAAGTGCCCAGCAAAGTTTAGTTACAAATAGTATCCTAAAGAAAATTGAAAATGTAAATACATTCCTTAACATTCTACAACTAACATTTTGATAATTAAGATTGACCCTTTCCTAGATCATTGACAGGTTACCAAGTAGGCTTCAACACATGATGGTTACTTAACAATTTACCCACAAGAGAACAGAATTTTAGACGGAAAGAAACCCAAAGAAAAAGCAACTAGAAACAGCAAAAATTTAATGAGATCTAAGTCGTAGAGTAAAAAACAAATTTGAGGGGCACCTGGGTGGCTCAGTCGGTTAAGAGTCCGACTTCCAGTAAGCAACTTCCAGTGAACTCACAATTCGTGGTGTTCAAGCCCCACGTCAAGCTCTGTGCTGACAGCTAGCTCAGAGCCTAGAGCCTGTTTTGGATTCTGTTGTCTCCCTCTCTCTGACCCTCCCCTGTTCATGTTATCTCTCTATCAGAAATAAATAAAACATTTTTAAAAATTTTTAAAAATATATATATATATATATATATAATTTTTAGAAGAAAACATAGGCTAAAGACTTCATGGTCTAAAAGCACAAGCCATTAAAAAAGTGACAAACTGAACATCACCAAAATTAAACACTTTTGTTCTATGTAAGAAACTAGTAATTACGAAATGAAAAGACAAGCTGATCACATGTCAGACACAGGATTGCAATTATATATATATATATATATATACTTTTAAAAAAGCTCTCAAAACCAAGCCAACATGCAAGAAGAGCTTGTTAGTCAACATTAGCCACAGCACTGACATTATTTGTTGACGTAAGAGTGTAAAGACTCTGCTGATATCCTGCCTTTACGCCATCACCTGCACTACTACCACTTTGATGGAGAACTGATTAGCTTCCAGTTGCCAACATCTGCATTTCTTTGCCTGCGGGCTTCTTCTGGCCACTGAAGACCGCTCTAACATTTGCAGGGCAGTCCAGAAGTACCAGGGAATTAACATTCTTTATAAATACTCCAGCTCCTTTGCCCACCAAAAACAATGTTTTCCACTGGTTTCCTAAGCTCTTCACTGCAGTTAAGTCTGCTTACTCACAATGCCTGATAAGAAACCCTTTACTAGCTACTTTCTCTTCTCTGTCGGATTTCTCCATTCTATCGGTATCTTCTAAGATCACCTAAAAAAAAGAACAAACAAAAAATACTTGCACTTGAGGCTTTATAACAGCATTTGCTTCTAGGGTAACAAACAAGACTGATTTGATCCTGGTGTAACAGGTCTTCCAGACGTATTCTGTAAGTGGATCACTTGCCAAGCAGACAAGCAAACAACAAGGTCCCAGTGCTGGTAATAAGTGGCTTGGTGAGAACCCTGGGTGAGCTGCTGCATCAATATTGCTAAGACTCTTAATGTGGTGGAGCTACGAGGAGATACAGGTAAAAGATGACTAGGTTATGCAACAGCTTTGGCATTTGAGAGATAGAGGGGTATCAAGAGTTTTAAAGACAATTAATTAAATTGGTTAAGTTTCTCCCAAGTAGCATTGATGCACAGAAGAAAGAAAATGTCAAGGGCTAAATCATCTAAATATCAACTCAAAGTATGGTAAGACAGGCAGAAGACCTAACAGCAGCATTTTAAGGAACCCTCAGCCTCTACAACTAGAAGGCAGACTGTACTAAAATTAAGGCCCAAATACTGATTATGAAAGGAGGTAAATTACTAAAAGACTGACCCTCCAGTCAAGATTCTCCTGAACCCTCTGGGCCAGAAGAAGTGGCTCCCCTGCCCTTGCAACAAGATGGCTCCTCTGCCTGAAGACCATGAAAGGCTTCATCTGAGATGTATGTCTCAAAAGATGCTGACCCTCCTGAGGATCTGTCCCTACTTCCTTCACTGATTCTAGGCTTGATTCTAGGCTAATGACTAGGGTCAATCCTCGGTGTCACGGGCATAGGGAGGTACTGTCCTTGCTTTCGATAGAAAGAGGTGATTCACCAAAACAGCTATTGGACCTGATAATATGCACTGGTGAGACCTGGGAGAACATACCTGGGAATGGATTTTGAGAGCTGAACTTGGGGACCAAGTATAACATTGGTGAGGAAACTGTTATATAGGGGCATTCCCCCATGACACAGGATTTAATGTTCCGAAAAGGACAGCTGGAGCCAGTCCTAACGTGTTGCTAGACTGGCTCAGTTAAGCCTCGGGGTGAGGGCGATTGATGACCTATATGAAAGGAACTGGCGATGCCAGAACCACATGGCAGAGAATAAAGGAAAGAGGCATATCCATACCCTTCCCTGTATCTCCTAACCTTTGCCAATTCTGTCTACTAGACTGACAGCATCTGCTTTAAAAACAAAATAAATAAAAAATTGATGACCTTCTCTGACCTCTTAAGTCCAATTTTTTTCCCTGCATGCCAACCTTGAAATATTATAGACGTACCACCCTCTGGAAACAGTCCTAACCAATGACTGATAGATCTTCCACCTACCTCACCCCCTCAAGAGGGATAACTCTAAGGACATGTTTTACACTGGCTCCTAGAGCTCCCCGGTGGAAAAGCTCCAGTTAGTTACTTGCAGTGGTAACTTGCTTGATAACAAATCCTTTACTTGCTAAATTTCCCTTCCCCCTCTCACTTCACCACCCCCTGCTGGTATTTCCTGGGATAATCTCCAAAATAAAATGTCTGAGTCAGCTTCTGGGAGAACTCAAACTAAAACATTAAGTCTTTTCACTTTAACCAAGCCAACAATTCAGATTACATAAAGTCCAAATGTACAGGGTACATATAAACTAAGATTTCTATTCATGATTTCCCTAAGCCTTACCGACAGTACATCCATCCAGTGCTCCATGAATACTAACAACTGAAGCTTTGTCATTATGATTTTCACAGTTCCACACTCAACAAATACCTAATCCTACTGCCATACCTGATTGTATGTCCTTGTGCTCCTGATATAACCTTGAAAATCAACACTTACATGAATGGAAGTATATCGCTTTACTTCCTTCCACTCACACTCCTGGCACTTTGCTTTTCTTAGCCTCATAATCAAGAAATAACCAACACCTCTGCTTTAGTCCCTTCACATACTAACTCTGATTTTAAACCCTGCCATTTCCTTCCTCATGATATCTCATAGTCCACCCTCTTTTCCCATTTCAACTGCCAAGATCTTTGTCCACGTGAATGCACAAATAAAATTCTATGATACCATGATCTCAGGCTCTGCACCCACATCTTCCTGTGTCTCATCCTGTGGACAGAGAAATCCACTAGGTGTAGTAGTTATGCCAACACATTTCATCTTCAGTGGATCCTAATCAACCTACTCTGGAGTTTCATTCCACTCAATGTAAAAAATATCAGCGCACAAAGTGCACTACACCAGACAAAGAAAAACAAATACCATGATCTCACTCATATGCGAAATCTAGTAATAAAAAAAAAAAAAAAAAAGTCAAATTCACCATAGGAGCAGAGTAGAATGGTGGTTTCCAGCAGCCAGGCCGTAGAGGAAATGGGAAGATAGTAATCAAAGGATACAGACTTGCAGTTATTAGATGAACAATCAGGAGATCAAATGTACACCATGGTAAGGGAAGCAGATAATATTGTATTGTATATTTGAAATTAATTTGGTAAAAGAGTAGATCTTAAACTACCACAAAAAAAGGTAAGTGTGAGATGATAGATGTGTTAATTAACTAACTGTGGTAATCACCTCACAAGGTATACATATATGTCAAATCATCATGTTGAATACTTTAAATAAATTTTTATTTGTCAATTACACTTCGATAAAGCTGGGGGGAGGAATATAACAATATATCTGAACATCTTTCCAAGCCATTGAAAACTCTTCAAAAACTTATGAGCCTTGATTGTTGACAATTATTTCCAGCTGTCTACTACTT